TATTTTACAAAAAATTCATGATATTCCCTATGCTTGTTGGATCCTCCTCAAGCTATGGCAACTTATATAATTCTTTATGAATTGAAAAACATGAATAGTTTATTTAAAAGCTAGTTTATCTCTACTCCTCAAATTATCCGAAAAATTGGCAAAAAGGTCACGTCGTAGAAGCTTTCGGTCTTTAAGTGATATTCAATCATAAGAAAAGCAGTGTCATATAGCTTTGTAGGCTAGCAAGCTTACACTTCATTTTGTACATAAATCAAGGGTTTTAATCTTTTTGCTTAAAAAAATTAAACAAGAATACAAACGGAACATTAAAAACGAAAAGATTGTAACAAAATTTAGTGTGTAACTGAAGGCAGACACTTTAAGCTTCTGCAAGCACGAAAAAAAATTTGGGTGAATAAAAAATTGTTGAACAACGATAACAGGATTCAAATTTAACTCAAAAAACCAAAACTTTCGCATTTTATGTTATGAAATTTGATAGAGAATTCAAAAAATAGTATACCAACTAAGATTTGGGAGTGCAAAAAAGATCTTGAAAACTTGAGGATGCTGATGAGAGCGAGATAAGCAATCATTGGAAGTCTATAAGACAACCCGAATAAGCCTCGTCTTGCCTACATTAATGCAAAATCACATTACCTTAAACAATTCTTTAATTCAATTACACAACTTGAAACACTGACCTCAGCGGCGGCTATGGAAAGAAGGAGAAAAAAATTAGCTAGTCGTCGCGAAGGTTGTGTTTCTCATTGTTCAAACTTTGGGCTAAACCCCAATACCTTACCTTGGGGGCCAAGTGCACCAACATACAATTTTTTGGGCTGCTGTTTAAGTTTTAATCAGAGTTTGCAAACTATTTAAGAATGTAGCTATCATTTAGAAAGGGCATTCTCCACTCTTCTCCTTCTCGCATCTTCGGCACCCTTAACCTATTTTCTTTTTCTTAATATCCACATCAATGAGGATTTTAGTATCGCAGTCGACCATCGCTCTCAAAGAGTATAAGCTTAGTCACCTTATTCTTACGGGAGTACAGATTGAAGTTTGAACTATATAGTTTAAACTTAAGGACATTGTACTGATCGACGAGACATGAGGCGATGTTAACGTGAGGTTAGAGGTTTGGAGGCAGACCTAGAATCTAAATATTTCAAGTTGAGCAGGACCAAGATAAAATACTTGGAGTGAGATCAATGGTGCGACTCAGGAAGTGGATGAAGATGTGGGTCTTGATTCATAAGTCATCCCTAGGAGATAAAGTTTCAAGTACTTTAGGTCAGTTATTCAAGGGAATGGGAAGATTGACGAGGATGTCATACATCGTATTGGGATAGAGTGGATGAAATGGAGGCTCACTTCTGGTGTTTTGTATGATAAGAATGTGCCACCAAAACTTAAAGGTAAGTTCTATGAGCAGAGTCAGACCGACTATGTTATATGGGACTGAATTGGTCATTCAAGAACTCTCATGTCCAGAAGATGAATGTGGCAGAAATAAGGATGTTGAGATGGATGTGCGAGCATACCAGATTAGATATAATTAGGAATGAAGCTATTCGGAACAAGGTGGGCATGACCTTTGTGGAGGACAAGATACATGAAGCGAGACTTAGATGGTTTGGGCATGTAAAGAGGAAAGACATAGATGCTCCAGTGAGGAGGTGAGAGGGATTAGGCGAGACATGGTGATGCTCCAGCTCACCGAGGACATGACCTTGGATAGGAAGGTGTGGAGGTTGAAGATTAAGGTACAGTGTTAGGAAGCCGAACGTTGTTTTTGGTCATGCTTGTATTGTAGTGCATTACCTAGTGTTAGTCTTGTAATTTCTTACTCTTAGATTTCTGTTATTACCTATCGCCTCTTTCGCTTCGATTTTCTGATTGCAGTACTTAGTGTTAGTCTTGTATGTTTACTTTGATTTTTTGAGTGGTTGGCTTATTGTTGCTCCTTCCTTTTATTTTTTAGGGCCGAGGGTCTTCCGGAAACAACCTTTCTACCTTGTTAAAGGTAGGGTAAGGTTTGAGTACACACTACCCTCTTCAGACCCTACTTGTGGGATTACATTGGGTCTTTGTTGTTGTTATTGTTAGTTTAAACTTAAGGACATAATTTCATGAACATACGCATCATTTTAGTCACCAAATTATAAAACAAACTACATCTAATTGGTCACTACGATCCATGCTTCTTTCTTCTTCTTGAATAGCTTGAAGTTGGAACCACAATAATTGAACTTCAGGACACATTGCCTTGAAGTTTGAACTAAATAAATTGAATTGCAGGATACAAAAGTTGAAATCCTGAAGTTAGAATTAAAAACTGAACTAAGGATGCAATGCTGAAGTTTTGAACGAGAAAAACTGTATTTAAGGACATCTGAAATTGTGAATTGCAAAAACAAAAACAAAAAAAAAAAAAAAAAAAAAAAAAAAAAAAAAAAAAAAAAAGATGGTTTCAAAATCATATTTGAAGAAAAAAAGAAAAAGAAAACAATCATATGTTAATCTTGTTAGCCATCTTCCATTTTTTTTTTTGGAGATGGTCCATAATTCAGAACCAAGAAAAAGCGGAAAAGAAACCACAAAAAGAATGGCTGACCTGAGTTGGTATATCTAGCCATAAAGCACAGTAACATTTGCTAGATTGAACTATCATTTATAGGTGCAAAATCCAAGGGGCAAAAAAGGAAAATAAAATGACAAAATGAGATTTGGGAATAATCAAACTCACCAGCACATAATCACTGNGTCCTAAAGTTTGAGGAAGCGGAGAAAAGAAACAATATTTGCCTGCTTTTTACGCATTGGCTAAATATTAAATAATATGCAAGTGCTAGCTAAGACTTAAACAACGGTCCTAAGTAGCTACCTGGTGCCATTTCTACATTGGACAACAAAAGCCCAATGGGTTATTATACTCGGCCTACAGCAGTAGATTAGCCCACTATTCGTCTACTAAAGCACAATTAGGTCATTGAGCTGAGCTATAACATGAGTTTAGCCAAACTAACATTGTTGGGCTGTAAGAAGGTATTTGGGATTTTATAGTCCAAAACATATATTTTTTACTAGATTACAACATTTATGATAACTTCATAGGTTATCTGTACTAGGGCTGAATTACCGTATCGAAATCGCAAATTTTGGTATATGATATTTAGTATTTTGGTATTTGGTTTAAGTTTTTAAAATAATTTGGTTTTAGGTATGGTATTTGGTATTTAAAAAAATAATATCGAAATACCGATACCGTACTGAAGTATATATATTAAATTACATATTACATATATTATTGATTAACATACTATTATACAATACTTTTCTTTGGCATTCATGTTGAGGTTCACAGTAAAGCCCATGTACTTCTTTAGGAAAATGGAGGAACAAGGTAAGATGCAACAAATTCTAATTCTTACTCTCTAGGTTGTAACACAATTTAACATAATGTTTCAACGATTTTAGGGTGTTTCTCACTCCATTACACTTGTATTGTTGTTGCATATATTGGATTAATCCTTGTTGTATTCCCTAATTTTAATAATTAACTTTAAGCAAGTAACATGATATCTCCAATGATCAAATGTATTCCTTTATGTACCTTTTTTCTCTTAGTTGATAATTGATGGTTTTGGACAAAAAATTTGTCAACAATCAGGTGAGCTTAAAATATTTTCATTGAGTACTTTAATTAAGAATATTACAGTCAATGGCTCTATGCACTAGTTAATATTCAAGCCAAATAAACCGAAATTACCGAACCGAATAAAACGAACCAAAACCGAAAGGAGAAACTCCAAACCATACCGAATGCAATTAGGTACGGTATTGGTATAACATTTTAAGAAATCGAATATCTAACCGAAATGACTAAATATCATACCATACCAACCGACGAACACCCTAATTTCTTAATCAGGAAAAGTTGTAGTTGCATTCACCATGAATACGTAATAGTATATCTTTTAGTCGTAAAATAATTCATGAAACCATCATTTTGGGTTCTTCTTTCCCGTAAGTCATTTTAAAGGATCTACTTTTGACTAATTTGTTGTATTTGTTTTTTAATGTGGATATATATGAAGCTTCAGTAAACTTTCATTTGTGACCCTTTTTTTCCACGCATTCTTATCACAAAGCAGGAAAATTACTGGCTAAATAATGAGTTATATATAAAATACAGGAAAATGTCACTAACGTGATATAAGAATAAAAAATGACTAAAAATACATTAATATCCAGCTACGATGAATATTTCAATGTAGCGTCTGGCAGAGAATATTTGAAAATTTATGTCCCTTTACAGTTAAACCCAATTATTTTTGTTGAATTCTGATTCCTTATGTAGAATTCTCCAGCTTTAACTTCTTCCATCGCATTCTTCAGTCTTTTGTTTCTTCTTAAATACAAATCGGATGTTTTTAGCATCCATCACATATATAGAATGTTGTTCATTAAGAAATTTTCCTGTAAAAGCCTTTTAAAAAAGCTAAGGTTAAATTAGAAATAAAAGTTTATCTAGTTAAATCAAACATATTAGTCCCTACATATCTTAATTCATTCCACTTGTTTAAACCAAACATATGTTAACATTTTGTCAAACTTAACATTCAAATTATCACCGAAAGACCTCTTCCATACTCACCCAAATTCTACTATTATATTAGTTCTCAAAAATAATTTTCTCAAAAATAATTTACCAAGCATACAACATATTTTAGATTTATATCCTTGAGTACTTTGAAAAGTTTAAGGTAAACATAAGGGTGAGTACATCGAGTGATAAGCACATGCTTTAGTATCTTAGAATTCAAGAAAGAGGCTTGGAATACATGAGATAAAATGAGGGCAAAAAAGGTAAAATAACTTTAAACGTACAGATGCGAGACAATATATAGATGGCTTCTTTTTAGCTAATTACAACTTTCTACATTTTAATTTATATGAACATATTTGACTAGACACAAATTTTAAGGAAAAAGAGAAAATTTTTAAAATTTATGGTTGTAAACACCCCATAATATTTGTGAAACGGTGGAAGTACTTGTGAAATTGCCTCAACAAGACGAATCCAGCACAATTATAACAACAATTAAGCTATTTCAAACTTTTGGTTAATTGGAATGTTTATATCTAAAACCAAAAATAGAGGAATATATAAGATTGGCGTGCTTTTGGTTTTCATTCAGATTGAAACATGCAACTTAAAATGATTAATTTTGAAATTACATAGCTCTGTATATTTATAAAATGAAGAGAAATTAAGGAAGGATGGAGAAGAGGAAGGTGGAGGAGATTAAAGTTTGCATCTCAATAGTGTAGGGAAGAAATGATGCCTGGCCTGAAGTAGCATATAGTATTGAATTGAAGTGGACATTTCAAGCAAAAAGTCTGTCATATATATGGACATGGCTGTCCAACTCCAGTGGTAAGTACATAACCCTATTTACTCTATACAACTATATGCTTTAATAAGATCTTCAACAAAATCTGACGCCATGCTCCTATATATATATATGAGCCATCAAGCTGCCACCGTCACCTCTCTATAGAATGCTAAACAAGTGATGAAGCATGATGTCAATATACTGTCATTTGGGATGCTGTAGATCAAGAGTACTAGGTAGCTAGCTCAAATGTTATTATAGGTGCAACCTAGCTAATTATGATTATACGTAGGAACATTAATTAAGGCCATATATATATATATATATATATATATATATATATATATATATAACAATACTCCATCTTGGTGGCTACCTTAGTGGAAGTTAGAAATTGATACCTTTATATATATAAGAGAACAACAACTATAATTTCTAATTATTTTCATATATAAAATCAGCGTCGTAAAATTTGATTGGCGTGATATACAAGAAATGGTGAAATTTTTTCTGGTTTGAAAGTCTCTTATTTTTTCCCATGGAGAGGTAAAAGTTGGAAAAGAGAATATTGTAGATATAGAGACGAATTTCATCCAAGAAGAAAAGAGGGAAAAACTGATAAACATGTGGTTAAAACAAATAAATGTGGCATTGTTGATTTTGGGGGTTCTTACCTTAGCATATATATTCCCATCGAACTAGCTTTGAGATTTCATTGACAGAGTGCTCAATGAGAATGCCACCCTGCTACATATATACTCCGCTGATGTCAACAACAAATATAATGCACATGCATGCAATTCAGTAAGCGAAAGTAGAAAGGGAAATTAAGGATATACAAAGATTAATTAAGAGCCAGAATCTTCAATAACATGAAATTAAGTAGAAAGAATCCTGCTACATATAACCCCATGCATAAATGAAAAGAAGTTGCTATGGTTAATTAATTAAAAGCTAAAAGCTAGTCATTGTACAATAACAATATATAATCAAGAAATTAAAGTTGTCTAATTAATTAATTAATGGTGGAGGGGGTTGATATCTAAAGATTATAACCCGCTTACCCTCATCATTCAGTTAAGAAAATAACATACCAAATTAAATGAAAAAGAATAAAGCCCATATTTTTAGTTTCCTACTCTTGTTTTGGATCTCTCCTCATTTGGGATGGCACCATGTCCTGCAGAAGCCCATGATCTCTAGCCAAAGAGGAAGAAGAAGAAGTAGAAGGCGAGAACCTTCTCTCTTGTGATGAATATAAGGAGGAATCACAAGTACTAATAAAGTTCATCGGTAATGTTGGTGTCTGAAAATAGGTCGGTTGTTGTTGTAATGCTTGATAATGGAATTGTGGGATAAATAAAGAGGAACCACCACCATTGCCGCCAAGACCACCAATTGAGCCACCGTAGGCGGTGGTTTCAGACAGAATGCCGATGCAGCTGCGAGGCGTAATGGGGCATGGATGAGTGTGAATACCTTCATAAGTTGTAACTACTATTGAAGTATCTTCAGATGACCTTTCCACTCTCTTCTTCACACCACATGTTGCGGTGGTGCAACGATAGTAGCTCCTTCACAACAAACAATTAATTTTAGCAGGGTTACTACTAATATATAAATATTAATCCAGTATGATTATAAAAGAAACGACAAGAGCATTTATTTTTCATTAGTATTATTATGTATGTTGTGTTTGCGTGTAGGTGTGAATATATATATATATATACAGTACCTGGGAAAGGGGCTGTTTTTTACTGCTTTTTGGCCGTACTTTCTCCATCTAAAACCATCATCCAAATGATCAACTTCGCTCTTTGTCATGAACGCAAATCTCGGCTCTCTTTGCCTCTTTTGGTTCTTCTTCTTGGGTTTTAACCTAATTAAGACACCAAAACCCCATCTTTTTATTTTTATTTTTTCCAATTAAAATAAGAAGACGAAATAACTACAAGGGAATCAAATCATGCATAAAAAACCCCATAAATCAAGATCTATCTTCCTGGATTTTGTTAGTCAACATTTACTAATTAATGTATAGAAGAACATTTATATTTAAAAAGAGGACTTCATGTCTTTAATTATCCATATATAAAATAAAATTAAGGTAGGCTTACTGTTTCTTATTCTTGTGTTGATCATCACCATCTACTGTTTGAGTGTTGGGCTGTAGTTGATCATCATTGGCAGCAGCTTCAGTTGATGATGAAGAGATGGAGGACGAATTAGGAGTATTTACAATCTCAGACGACGGAATCTTATTGACTATTTGTGATGGTACCAATAAAGGTACAGCTGGTGGTGGAGGTTGAAGCAAATCGAATGTAGAAGGAGTAGTAATTGGATGAGAAGAAAACATGGTTTCTATTAAGCTTAAAGAAGAACCCTTTTCAGTTTCACATGTTGGCATATCAAAGATGCTTGATAAAGAATAATTATTCGCCGGAATCTGATCGGAAAATGTGGAAATTTCTAGTGATGAAGTGTTTGGTTTTAGCTTGTTTTCCTTGTCCGCCATGGACTTGATCAAAAGCATAGATTCTTCTTCTTTCTTATTGCAAACAACAAAAGGCAGAGAGAGAGATAGAGAGATATAGACTTCACTTTATGTTTGCGTTTGGGTATAGGATTTTTTCAGACTTTTTGCTGAGTTGTGGTTACTTTATTTGTTTGCTCAACTGGTTGGTCCCACTCCCATAGCGGAAAATTTGGTTTTCTTTCACCTAGGAGTTTGAGGTTGACCGGTAAATGCCGGTGGAGTACGACCGTGTTCAAATGGAAAATAATTGGTGCTTTTGACCTAAGTTCTTTTATTTAATAATTTTAAGTCATACTGTATATATTAACAATGTAATAAACTATTTATGTCGTCAAATAATTTAATATATTGTAGTATTTTTTAAGTGACAAACCAATTAACCCTTCTAATTAGAGTTACATGTAGTTTTTTAAACAATTCAACTGTGTAAATAATTCTTTTTTACAATGATATACTAGGTAAGTTTATTTATTTGACCATTGTAATTCAAACATGCTATGTCGTTAATTTTATTTAATGTCCTTATTAACCAACAAATGTGACAACAAAGTTTATGTTAATTTTATACATGACTGCAGGTATATGCTCGACGCAATGAGCCAATCGACCGTTAGGCACGTATACCGTGAAGGGAACGTAACCAAGTGGCGCATGCACTGGCTAAATATGGGAGCACCTGGAACTCACATACTTATGCTGAGTGTGAAGATTATTTCTGAAGTGAACCACATTTATTTGCTTTCTTTATTTTCTATAAAATCCTTTTAAAGATTGCATCATTAAGATCAGTTCCATGTTGTAATAACACTTCTTATTTTCCTGCTTAATAATAAACTTCTCTATCTAGCAAGTAAAAAAAATGTGCTCTGTCGGGTAAATGCATTTGAGCAATTAACAGTGGCGGATACACCTTTGGACATATGGGTGCTGAAACACCCATTGACTTTGGCCAAATTATATAATATATTCTTTAATAATACCTAAAAACTTCACTAATTGATCATGAGCACTCACTATGACCATGCTTGGCCATCTAGAATTTAAATTAAAATTAGTGAAGCACCCACGTCCTATAAATCTTGGATCCGGCACTGACTTTAAAATATTCTCTACCATACGTACTGTATGTTTTAAGCAATAGGTAAAATAACCTATTTAGATTTTCACATCATCAATTCCCTATCTATATATTAAAGAGATTTTTGAGGGATCATTATGAGTTGTTTAGGACGATGGTTACAGAATTAATTAGCAGGCTAAGAAATTTACCATTGTTACATGCTAGGAAAAAAGTTAGTTTGAAAGATAGTAACATGAGAGATTGGAATTGCAACTATTACTCTACTTATTCTCTTTCATTTTCATAGTGCAAGTATTACCACCAACGAAATTTCAAAAGACAACAAATAATTAATAACAGCTATATATTTCATAATTATTGAATGCTTAATCATAAGATATAGTGTCATTATACACGTTGCTATATCTCCATAGAGGAGACTAAAGATTTGTTGAGGGGAGCTTTTTGCAATAAATGTTAGCTAGGATTAAGAGGACCACCACTCCGGCGAAATAGTCGGCGGTTTCATACGCGGGGTTGTTGACCGGTTACCGGAGAGTGTGAATATGTTCAGCTTACACGTGGGAACAGTAAAGTGCTAAAAAAAGAAAAGAAAGTTTGGCTCGTTTACACGTATGTTCTTCTTTTCAGAAAGTATGATTTTTCCCTTTCCACTTAATAAACCAAAAAACTCTTTCTTGAGGGAAAAGATTGTCCTTTCCTCCCTTCTATTTCCGCCCTCTTCTCTAATTCCCTCTTATACTTCTTCATTTGTATTACAAATAATCAAAATTGAAAGTTGCCGCCGTGCCGTGCGACCAGAAGGTCACATGTTCAAGTCGTGAAAACAGCCTCTTACAAAAATGCAGGATAAGGTTGCGCACAATAGACCCTTGTGATTCGACTTATCTACGGACCCCGCACATAAAAAAAGCTTAGTGTACCGGACTGCCTTTTATTACAAATAATCAGAACAACATTGTTTGTAACTTGCTAACTTATTAGCTACAAATGAAATGCGTGAAATATAAGTTATGTTTTATACTTGTTAATTTTATGTTCTACTCGTGTAATATTATCATCATTATTATTTCCATTTTTGTATAGTGAATTAGTATATATACAGTTCTATTTTTCTTCTTGTATTTTTTCCCAATCAAAAGGCACATTCGTTGATGTCATTTTAATAGTTGGTCTATCTAAATTATTTTGTGAATGATATAGGGCCCTCAGCCTTTTTAAGCTACGATTTTTACTTGTCCTACTCCATAATTAAGAAGAGTCCTTATAATGATGATCATTTACTAACTAATATGATGTTATTGATAGGTTCCAATCACTATAGATCTAAGGGACCCAAATTTGGTAGCTTCAACCGATCAAAAATGCTTTCACATCTATTATACGTAAGGAATTAAGTTATAAACACCGATAATATAACATATTTTTTTACACTGTCAATGCAATTTAACATTGCTTATCATATAATTAATAATTATCGATAAATGCTATAACATAAAGTTACATACCATCACTTTTTAAATGATCTAATTGCATAAATATTTTTGTTTACCGTGAAAATGGTAATAACAATTAAATTTGATTTAGTGGTTCTAAAAATACGTGATCTATTTTTATGCTAGTTGTTAGGCAGTTGATGTTATGTGAAGACTTAGAAACGAAATAAGAGCTTGAGAATAAGACGATAACCAAACCGAATGATCAATAATCGGGGCCTCGAGCTTGCCTATTCGAGGGTCTCGGTGTCGAGTCTGAAGCTCGGCTGTGAGCTATCAAGGGTGGTTGATGGAGACTAGCAGTTATAAATAAATCAATGACGGCTCTTTATGGCCAATAATAAGCAATAAATGAAGAGCAGTAAATAGGACACAATAAATATGAGCAATAAATGAAGTAATGAGATCAAGAGAATGTGTTAGAGAGCAGAGAGAATGTTCTTGTATATTTAGTATTGAGCAACATATATTTACATAATGACAAGGATCCCTTTTATATAAGAGGGGGAATCCTAACATAGTACAAATGCATTTATTACAAAGATATGGAGATGGGACAGTCAGTTAATTCCATGATGCGGGCTCAGACTAGCCTGACAGACTTTGTCGGCTCTAGCTTCACACCTTGAAAACTCCCCATTTTCTTTCCGTAACCATCGGTCTCATACTTCCCCGAGGTAGAGCATCAATGGCCCTCGAGGGATAAAACTCAACCGTGGTCTCGATCCTTCAAGACGTGCCTACGATCGAGGCGTCACAACAATGAAAAATTGAACCCTCCGATTTTACCGTATACAGATAGTCCCTGCGTTTATTAGAGTAGAATGATACAGAACGACCTTGGTAACCATCTTTCCGAATTTCCCACGATAACATCATACTGATGATGCAAGCCTCCGTGATAATCGAGACGTCCCACTGATTTGTCTTTTTAGCGCCTTTCAATGTACTGCCGATTCTCGTCCTTCTAACTACCGATTTAGTTCCAAAAATACATTGATTGCGCTTGCCGATACGTCTTTCAAGAACATTGATGGTGACATCTCTGATGTATGCTATATTTCCCCTTATCTACGCTTGTGAAGAATCTGAATGCATGACTCCACTGATTGGTACAACTATCGAACCTGGGTGTGAGTGTTTCTTCTGACCTTTGACTGTTTAACACGGCTCCCTGCAAAACCCTTTGTCGTTCCTTGGACCGAGTCTGGGCTGGACTGATAGACTCGGGTCGTCGAGACACTGACTTCGAGTTGAATGAGAGTAGGGATTCGAACGCTCAGGCCAAGATTTAACCTTTAGACCTTGCGATAATCTTTGAGGGGGAATTTGCTCGGAAGCCCGAAAATAGAGACTGCCTTTAGGCTTTCAAGAACAGTCCCCGAGTGGGGGTTTGCTCAAACTCGGGCCACATGGAAACTTGTTTTGAACTTATTATAGAGAACCTTAAGGCATTGTGGATAGATCCCAGATGAGGATTTAACCGGGTTTAGATGGTACCCTGAGGCCAAGCCCATATGAGTGGAGTTTTAAGCTTTTATTTTCTTCTTGAGAGGAGCCTTCGAAACCCGGTACCATATCGAGTCTTGTAATGATATTGATAGACCTTTGGAGAGGTCCTCGAGATCGGGTACCATCTTGGGACTGGCGATGATTCCAATGGCTTCCTGGAGCCTAACTTCTTTTTGATGGAAGTCCTCGAGATCGGGTACTATCTGGGGACTTGCGATGATGCCAAAGGCTTCCTGGAGCCTTACTTCTTTTGGATGGAGGTCCTTGAGATCGGGTACCATATTAGGACTTGTAGTGATGTTAATGGCTTCTTGGAGCCTTTCTTCTTTTTGGTGGAGGTCCTAGAAATCGGGAACCATCTCAGGACTTGTTGGTGCGGGGGTCTCCGACCCCAAAACATCACACGACATTCATCAAATGGATGATACGGCTGCAAAGTGACCTAGGCGATCCCGCCGGCACATCTTCCCAAAGTGATTTCGGCCAGCATTTTAATCAGCCTCTGAGGCTAGCGGATCGTTGCTGCTTTTTCCATATATAGGGTTGTTTCCGTCCTTTTGGAGATTTCACCATTCTAAGTAGTTATCCTTTTTCTTACGTTAGGCTTTTCATTATTTCAGTATTAACGCTCTTGCTTAAATTCCTGCTCCAGTTCTCTAATTTTACTGCAGTCATGACTGCTAAATCAGTATCCGTTTGGCAGGGATGAGAGAGTTTCACCTCCGGTTCTCGCCTTGTTAGCGGAGCGCCGCTGATGCCAGGCGGGCCTGATTCGGGGCATTTTGCTTCGAGAGGGGACTTTTCGCCAGAAAAGTACCCCGATGCTCAGGATCAACGGGAGCATACCTTGAAGTTTACTTCTTCGATAGGAGAGAGACACCTTGAGTTGGTGAGGAAAGACTGCGGATGGGGGGAAAATGTAGTACTTCCCCGGATGAGAGTATTACGGATCGTGCCAAGGGTTTTTTGAATGTGTACACGTATCCTT